CTGCCCAGCATGTTTCTGCATTAACAGACGCCCGCGGTCATCTCCTGCCTGCTTGACTTTGGATCATCCGATCTTCACACCGCCGAAATTTTCGGGTGTGCTCCTGTCGGGAAAAGCACGGGTTTGGGAAGACCGGCCTCACAGCGCGGGCACCATCTGACACCGCCGAGCTTTACCCATGCTGGATCCCTCTTCTCCCCGTTTCGTTGCGCGACGCCTACCAGAAGACACTGGATTTCCGGCACGTGGTGTCAGACCAGCACATCCGTGTTATCCCTTCCCCGCCTTTCCACAGCTCTCCAGCCGCGAGGGATTTTGAAGGTGATTTTGGCGGCCTCTCCCAGCAGCTGATGCTTCCCCATCTTGCCGTGCAAAGCGTTTTTCCGCGCCACGTGGAGTCACACGGAGGCAACCCGGCAAACGCCCGCCCGCGGAGGAGGCTGCAAACCCGGCTCCTCTCTCCTGCGCCCCCAGCGCTGCTGTCTGAATCCAGCTTTTCCAAATCTAATTGTTCCGTAAAACATGTCCTGGGTTCTGGAACGGAAAAAGGAGAAATCGGGGGAGAAAGGCAGGAAGGGACAAGCCAGTCCTGCTACCCTTACGTTATTTAAAAGGAGCAGCGGGGTTCAAGGGATGTTTTATCTCCGCTAGGATTTCTTCTCATCCAAACACTTCTTCGAAAACATTATTTTTGCTGTTGATGACAAGTGCACTTACCAAACGTCTTAGAGCCGCCGTCCTCTGCCTCCTTGCAATAAACGCAGCTTTTTAAAAAGTGTTTTGCCAAGAACACTTACACTGTGACCTCTTGCTGCATTATGGGGCATAAAGTGAGTTGTTCACCCCCCCCAACCCCACCCCATGCATCGAGACTGTAGAATTTGGTCTTTCCTGCTTTTACTGAAGAATTTTGGGGAGGTCAGAAATGCTTTATTTCAGCTTTCTGTACCTCAACAGATGAAAGGCTGCCGGTACCATTCGGATGAGCCCCCTTTGTCCCAAATGCTCGTCATTTAAGTTAAACACGTGCTAAGACTATAAGCAAGATTTGTTAAGGTATAACTAAAAACACCTAAAAATCCGCGCTTTCCTTTCTTGCTCACTCCTCACTGCTCTCTGCCGTATCACCACCTAGCTTATCTCGCGCGCCCCTTCCAAAGCGAAGGCTTGAGTTTGTGATGTAGAAAACAAGTAGACTTCCTAATTTATAGCTCAAGTCTTTTATTCCATCATAAAGTAGCAAAAGAGAAGACTTCTCTCTCGTAGGTCACCTCTAATAACAATCACTTCAGCAAGATGGATTTCAGAATTAGGTGTTCTCAAAACACAACCCATCCTGTATTTTTCAACAGCACAAAGCTGCCGTAAGAACAATCTGACCTTCATTCTCAACAGCAGACTCACTGGGGAAAAAAAGCATTTTTGTTTTTCGGCTTGAGGCACTGTCAAAAGAAAAGCCGTAGCGTAATACACATACAAAGTAAAAATATATGATAATTTATACAAAACTGTACAAAACTCTTGGAGAATTTACTTTTCAACTTTTTTCCCCAAACACTGGAGTAAACTCCGAGGGTTTAATTTAAAGTGAAATCAATTATAGGGTAACTCCATGTGAATAAGTGTTTTTCTACCATCTATGGTTCTACAGTACAATCCACTAGCAATGTTTGGGAAAAAAAGTTTATTACTAAATACGCACATTTAGGCATTTCTTTGCACTAGCTGGTTTGTAACATGCCCCTTAATTGTGTAGTTCAGGGTCTAAAGTAACGTCTGTCGGCCTGCCAAAGCAAAACGCCGCACGCTATTGTTTTGTTTTAAAGCACTCCCAAAAGGTGGCGTGTAGTCTTAGTAGAGGAAAAACTACAGTGTGACGGTAAACTAAAGAATATAACGAAGGCAAGTTGTTTGAAAATACTTAGAACTTTACTAGTATTAATAAACCGATCGATACATTTGTGTCCTAAAGTCTCTAGCGGATCAACTACTACCAGCAGACACCAGAAAAGGTGCAAATTAATCGCCTCTTATATTAAATGCTATTTTTGCATTCGGCCACGTCTTTGTTACACGTTCAAGGTTGAATAACACATTATAACCTAATACAGTACCTAGGCTTTGCTCCTTTAATTTTCCATTAGGCGTAGCTGCGAAGCCAGAACAGGAATGCTTATGCTGACTAGCAGGCTTATCCTTTAGGCTAGTGGGCATTAGGAAAATTTTTCAAGCTCTGCTCGTCACCCACATAAAGAACTTAATTTTACCGCTACAGCCTGCCCAGCTCCTCTTCCAGCAGCGCTATTCAAACTGCTCTTCCCACTTTCCTGGAGCCCCAAAACAGAGTCGTCATTCACCCTTTTCTGCCTTGTGATACCAACAAAAGCAGCTGCAAACGGGCTCGGTGTCAGCAGCACCAGCGTTATCCTAATTAAGCTACAGAAATCTTAAAAGATTTAGCCTTGAACCTTTTCAGCAGCTTCAGATTTCTAGAGGCCTCTCTACCTGGAAAGAAATTGCTCGACTTACTACGATCATTAAAACCACTGCGAAAGGGATGTACGCTTTCCGTACATCTAGCTAAACCAGTTTAAAACCATACAGAACAAAACAAGTGGCAGCGACTTCAGCTTGTTTCAGGATTTGAGGCTAACTTAAGACTAATAGCAGTAAGAACAGTAGGGATTAATTTAACATTCGAGATGCCACGATTGCCACTTATTACGATTCAAGTTCTCTCCAAGCCAATCCCCAATTTTTTGCTTAAAATAGGAAAAAAGTTTTCTTCCCTCTAAAATAAGCAGTTAGCTGAAGGTTAAAGCCCTCGGAAAATACTTTTTATTTTGACGGTGATGTCAGTGCTGTCTAGTTCTCGTAGGGAACCACTGCCTAAACGGCTGCAATTTCACTGCTCATTATTCCTCAGCCAGCACAAATTTTTAAAGATCACAGAGAGGCAAATGCAAGCAAAAGTGTCAGTAATCACTGACCTCAGCTCAGTAATCTTGTAGCAAAGTCTGACCTAACACTGCTGAGATTCAGGCTAGGTTTTTGCTAACAGGATTTCACCATTCCCTGAGATAGCGGGGAGGCCCTCTCCAAAGCACACTTTGAGAAGAGAACCTACCAAATTATGGCATTTCCCCCCAGAAATAGTGGTTTCATTGTCTCAAAAGAAGTTTCTAGAAGACACAGTTAAAAACTTCAGTCCGATATACACGCTCAGGGTCAGCTGATGTTACGTGCAGGCACCCGCCGCTCACAAGTGCGGCCATTCGAACGGTGTCATTCTCCGGAGGTTTTAGTACACCTCCCGCCACCAGTCAACATGAATATCGAGAGTACTATTGAGAGTATTATTTTGGGTCCTTTTTCTCAGAAAGTAGCATTTATAATAGACACCTCCATTACCTGTGCTCTTCAGCCTTGAGCATGCTGTGCTTGTTACCAATTTGCTCACCCCGAAGCTAAGCCAACCACCTTGACTGGCGTGGGGGTAAGCGCCTGCCTCTCTGCTTTTAAGATCGGATAAATTCTCCAAGTTACATTTGTCAACATCAAGCACCGAGAACAAAGGCACAAGATACAGGGCTCTTAAGTACGTTCGAAAAGCAAGGAACGTATCAGGTCTTGCTTCAGACTTTTTACAGAAGCCAAGTGTAACTTTTCTTAAAAAAAAAAAAAAAAAAAACCCTTTCAGCACAGAAAATTTATTTGTAACCAGTTACCATCATTCGAATGGGTAATATCCAGTCTGAAAAAAAAGAAAAAAAAGAGGTCTAATGTGCCCTAAGTTGACTGCTTTCCATATAGAGACCTTCTGAATGGCATACCTCTTCTGTTTGAAACAGAAAGCAAGGATGTAACTATATCTGGAAACACCAACACCAGAAAAACCCTTTAGGATATGAAGTGAGCCATTTAACTAAGTATTTAAAACCTCTGCAATTATTAGTTTATTAGTATCATCCAGGATTCAGATGTTCAATATTTCTCCTGAAGTTATACATAAATGCAAATTGAAATAAGAATCTGAAAGTCAAAATTGTATAACAAAACAATACTCCATCACAAAAGCGTGTAAAATTACAAGAATGCTTTTTTTTTCTTTTTTTTTTTTTTTTTAAACACTGGCACTTAGAAGAACCATAATTTTGTAACCACAAAATTGCCAAATTGTCCCCCAAACTGGTAAGCAGGTATATGTGAAAATAGTTACAGTTGCCAGCACTTGAAGTTTTACTAAATATGCAAAAAACCCCTTAGCTTTGGTTTTGGAAGAGAACTATATTTGACCAAATTAGACATTGTTGGTATACCATAAACATTTCACTTTTTAATGCAAAATTTAATAAAATGTACTTTTCCATACAGCTATATTTAACTTAAAAATGGGCAAACATCAAGAGTGCGGTATAAAACCTAACAGGAAAAATACATCTTATCTCATTTTCAATTTGAGACAATATACAACTTTGTTTAAAGGGCTAAAACTAGAATTTCAAGAATACAAATATGAATTTACATAGATTTAACAAATAATAATGGTACCATTTATAGAAATCTTAGAAAGAAAAATCATTTCTCATGGGCCGTTTGCTACCAGGAGAGTTTCATGGTATAAAGCCCGTGGCCATCACCAGACCTGTCACCAAAAAATATGGTAATTTTATGCTTTTAACTTTACACATTTTAGGTACGCTCATCTGTCACAAGTGTTCAGAGATTTACAAATACAACTTCCATTACATGGTAACAGAGTCACACATGTAAATGTCTCTCCACTGGATGGACATACACTCTTCCTATGGGTCCTTCCAGGACAAATTTTTCATGTCCCCTCCCACCCCCCCAGAAGTATTTCATTACTGTAAAACTGAACTCTATACTTCTCGACTCTCCAAGACTGGTAAACTCATGCAACTCAATAGAATATTACATTTCACAAAAATCTGAACAAATATCAGTTTGCTGAGATTGAATTTTTGTTTTGTTTCCAGTTACGGAAGAATATTCTTTCATCATATGCCTATATATTTCTTTTTTTTTTTACCCTATCATGATTATGCAGGGTATGCAGATCAAAGCTTTGTTTATCAGCTGGTTATATGAAAGATGAAAACTGTAATATTCACGTGATCCCAAATGGGCATTCAACAAAGCAAAAGATGAGTTCCCCTCAAAAAAAAAAAAAAAAGAAAGAAAAAAAAACTATGATTTTTCAAGGGCACCTATTAAAAGGACAACAATACTAATAAAAAAAAATTGTATTTACTTAGAAGCATTCAGAATGTCAACAAAACAGCTGCAACTTTTTTTTTTCCTTTTTGCAATTACAGAGTGGTATTCAGTTAACAGAACAACAATTATTTTTATGATGCATCAGAGACAACTGAAGATGAAAAATGAACTACATCCCCATATATAACTAATTTGTGCTGTGCACCAACAAGAACCTGCTTTAAAACTCCCATGCCAATTTACAACCCCCACACTGTACCAGGCAAGGTTAGTGGCCATTGAAATACCACTAAGGACAGGGCTATCTAAAGACACATTCGGTAGTGTGTTAACTATACAAAAAAAGAGACACTGTACAGTTTAAAAACAAATCTTACACAGCCTTACATTTCAATTTTTTTTTTCTTTAAAAGGAGTGAGTTGTGTACAGGGGGGTTAAATGCTTTATAGACAAGAAAGAAATTGCTCTAAAAGAGACTTATTCATCATCATCATCATCCTCGTCCTCCTCCTCTTCCTCTTCTTCATGCTCTTCATCATCATCATCCTCTTCGTCCTCATCCTCATCTTCCTCCTCCTCCTTCTTCTTCTTGCTCATCTCCGCCTTGGCAACTACTTTTTTGCCTGCATCAACCTTCCCTTTGGCCCGGTATGCAGCAATATCCTTGGAGGAGAAAAGCAGGAACAATCTCTCAAAGATTTAACCAGTCAAGAGCTCTGGGCAGCTTCCAAATGATACTTGTGAACCTGGAGCCACTCAGGTATTAACACCTTCTCCCTGTCCACTGGGATAGGACCAGGAGTCGTGGCTTCAGTTACAACAGGGTAAACGGAGGCTCAACACCAAAAAAAAAAAAAAACCCAAAAGAAACAGGTACCCTCTAACACAGAAATGATCCTCGCGCGCCAAAACATGCTGCTCATGGGTGTAGGGGAATCTCCATGCTGGAAAAACAGCTGCCTGGGATGATAAAGGCACAGCTGAGCCCACTTTCTAGTAAGGGGAATGAAGTAGGGAAACCTCTCAAGGTCCGTTTCTACTCCTATTTTCTATGATGGCTAAAGAAATGCACACAAAAATCCTTATCTGAGACACGAAATTATAATTAGCCATCCAAAACACATCAGAATGACACAGCCTAATATTTGCAATGTTATGCCTCAGCGAAGAGCAATTATACAGAATTCTGCCTAACTGAAGTTTACAAAATAAAAGGTACAAGAACTTTGATTAAAGGGTAGACAGTGCCACCTTCTGCATGCAATAAATTTATTCTAGTGGTTTATAATGCACAAAATTCAAGTTTCTGTCTTAGGCCAGTTAAAACTGTCCACAGAAGACCAAGCCAGGAAAAAAAACTAGGCTACCCAGCTTTATACCCAAATAATGAAAACAAATACGTTACAGAATTTATCTATAGTACTCTCAAACATACTGGCAATAGAGAAATGTCAACACCTTTAGCCAGGCAGTTCAAATCTTCCAATGCTCCCTTATCCAGTATATATTACACCATTAACCTCATAGTTCTTTCAAACTCCCTTAAAGCTTACCATTACATTTTTAGAAAATACAAAATTCACCAACAGTCAAAGGCCTATCAGTGAAATACTGAGGTTAAAAAACCCATTTTTAAGAAACAAGACTCACGAATTTGAAAACATCTGGGAATGAATATTAATAATTCTACTATTTTAGAAGTCTCTTATGAGCTGTTTGATGTAGTTGTATGTACAAACAATTCCCATATTGGTGAGTTTGTTTTTTTTTTTTTTTAAATTTGCACAGGAAGGGATACCTTCCACTCCTACAGTTCCTCTCCAGCAAATAATTAGGAGGTAAAGGAGCCACCTTCCTCACTATAATGCTACAGTTCTAACCTGATTGTGACCCAAATAAAGGTCACAGCATGCAGACGGACAGCTATGGTATATATTAGCTATAGGTGTATGCTGACCCATAGTCAAGCACTATCAGTGTACATCTTAACACATATTCCCTTCTTTGGTTACACACTACCGTCAGTGCAACATGTGACACCAGTTCCCAACTGTTAAGGCAGGATTTACCCTTAATGCTTCAAGAAATTGTATGACAACTGTCTTCATAGGCATTAATTATGTTAATTACCAGAAAGGAGACAGATACAAAATAGGAACAGGAGAAACACATGTCTAAGAACTAGCATCTTTTTAGCATTGTAATATCTGTAATTATCAAAGGAATAAACTAAAAATAGATGCTATTTTTATCAATTTTTCTAATGGTCAGGGATGTTCTTCAATACCCAACACCTCCAAAACCAGAGAGAACTATTTTATTTACAGACCTTGCTTCATGCTGCTACCTTAACCCACATACTGCTGAGACCTATTCTTTTAATAGCCAATACAGATACGGTAATATCTACTAAACCATCATCAGCGGTCCTGAATTACAGATAAATGAAAACAGTTCAACACCAAAGACTGCAATCTAGTGCTACAACTAATAGCGTGCCCATTAAGTTATATTTTCCTACAAACATCATGACATTTGTCATTACCATATCATATACTATAACACAAAATATTAGAGAATACTAGAAACGAAAAATGCCTAAATTCAGGTTTCTTCTCCCTAAACCTTCACCATAAACATCCGTGTTTACCTTTTCATACTTCTCCTTCAGTTTAGCAGCCTTTTTTTCATAAGGCTGTTTATCATCTGCAGCGGTGTTGTTCCACATCTCTCCCAGTTTCTTTGCAACATCCCCAATGGACAGACCAGGATGTTCTCCTTTGATTTTTGGACGAAACTCAGAGCAAAACAAGAAAAAAGCCGAACTGGGGAGGGGGAGGAGAAAGAAGAGAGGATTTTAATTTCAGACTTTAATCCACTACAATAGATACAGAGAGTTATGATCTTTGTTACTGTTTCTTAAGAGCACTGTAAAAGCATTTTGTAAAAGCACCTGGAAGTGAGACAAACATTAATTACAAAGGAAGATATTAGAACTCTGAAAACTTAACACATCCTTGTTCCTAAGTCATGCTGCACATCTGGTCTAATTTTTGGCAGGACCCCAAGAAAGGCTAATTTTACATATTGTATGCAGAGAAAATCTTAAAAAGAGAATGACTGAACAATACTAGGGGAGCAAATGTTAGGTCAGAACTGTTAAAGGCAGAGAAACAACACATACTCTACAATATTTGTGGTGAAAATTAGGATTTCCAGATGACAGCATCAGCCCAAATGAAAACATAAAATTGTACAGGAAGTTCCCTTACTCCCTACAGCGTTAACTCCATTAAACAAAAAGAGAGATAAAGATGTAGCTCTACAACGTATTCTCTATACACTGGCAGAATTTGAAGGTTAGCAGTCTTTTTTATTACGACTGAGGCTTGAATTCTCCAGAACTGTTTCATACAAGATCTCTAACTTCAAATGGACTGCCCACTAAAGACCCTGCTCAAGTCAAAAGGTTGTGAGGATGGAGTCAGGAATGTTACTGCCATTTTAGATAAGAATTACTGTCCACTCACAAAAACTGGAAAAATCATGAGGAATTGTGTGTCAGGACCGTGTAGATTTTTGCATCTGCTTTTAAAGGCTGACTCTAGTCCAACTTTATCTAAACTTGACCAACCCCAACACCAATATCTAGTATTCATAACGAAAAGCTCAACCTATCTTTACACCACCAGTCAGAAAAACCACATAGTCTTGTATTTCTGAAGTTTTTAAACCTGGATGAAAGATTATTTTACAGATATACTCCAGTATGATAGTCGTGCACAGGATAGCCTAGCTGGATATCTACTTACGGAGGCCTCTTCGGTGCGTTTGGATCCTTGAACTTCTTTTTTGTTTCCCCCTTAGGAGGTACATAGTTTTTCATTTCTTTTTCATAACGAAGCTTGTCAGCCTTTGCCATATCTTCAAACTTTCCTTTCTCCTTAGAAGACATAGTCTGTAAGGCAATAAAGTGAGAATCTAAGATTCAAAAGCAAATGCAAATTTTGAGTTGGGGGAGATAAAGGTAAGGCAAGAACAATGGATAATTACCATTAGTCTTACAACTGCACTGCACATGTATCTAAAAACTAACTTTTAAGGAAACAATTTACGATCTCAAATAGTAGTTTACACCAGGTACTTATTCAAGGGGTTTTTGTTGTGGTTGTTTTTTTAACTTATTCCTACCTTCCATCGTTCTGAACATTTTTTTGAGAACTCTGAAAAGTTCACTGAAGCATCTGGATGTTTCTTCTTGTGCTCCTCCCGGCAGGTTTGCACAAAGAAGGCGTATGAAGACATTTTACCTCTTGGCTTCTTAGGATCACCTTTGCCCATTTTGGATGATTTTCTGCAACATCACGAAAAAAAAAACACCTTTAAAACTTTTAAATCCCACCCACTATGGCAGAAGGCTACAAAGAAAGAATGATCATGCCAATCAAGAACTGCCAGAGCAGTATTCTGGAATATCATAATGGGAAGAAGTTTCTTTACTGGAAAACTTGCTTAACATTTCTACCGTCACTGTTTGAGGTAACCTGGCAGATACAAGCAACCTGAAACCTCAAAGGGCCTTCACAACTTACACTTTTAGTCTCCTACAAACAAAAATATCCCCTCCAAGCAATTCGTAGGTTAAGTACTGGCATCAACGCAACAGAGACTGTGCTCCCGAATTACTGCAACTATATCATATGCTAGGAAGGAATAATTATATTTAAAGAAAAAGAGTACCTTCGTATCCTGTCTCAGCTATTACATTCTTTCTCCATATAGCATGTGTTTCTACTCCCCACCCCTGCAGACCTTTGGTGCTCATTAAAAAAAAAAGCAGCATTATTTTATTTTTGTAGGTCATCTATTTTGACTCCCTCTTTTAAGTGTACTGCAAGAACATACTCTCTCTTTGTACGCGTACTGAGAAACACAGGAATGAAACACCGTGCTCAATCAAACATGTTATAACCAAGTCAGGGACTTGAAAAGTACAGCGCTTTACATGTGACTAGCAAAACCGTGCTCACCGAGAGGACTATCCTGACTCTTTCAGGGACCAGGAGGGGGGGGGAAGGAAAAACACCTTCCTGGAACCTTCACACCCAAGTCAGACATTCAGAGTATTTCTTCACAACTCCCTGGAAAAAGCCACTTGCACCCTGACAAACTCTGCTCTTCA